GAAGTATTGCCAATGCAGTTTCAGAACCCAGTTTCACATGGGCCAATAGCTTGGCCTCCAGCCTCTTTCACAGCCTCTCATGGTGCTCTGTCTGGCCATTGGGGCCACAGAATCCAGTCTGCCTCTAACTCGTTATATGAACACAGATTCTCAGTCTTTTTTAAGCCTTAGGTTCCTCAGCTGTGAAATAGGGGAATCTACCCAGCTTCAGAGTTCATGTGGAGTTTAGATGAAAATGTGTGAAAAGTTGGCACATGGCAAATGCCAATTTTTTGCCCTTCTTCCCTTGTCCTGCCTCAGCCTGTAGCCCATGGCACCTCTGATGGGGGTAGAGCTCTGCATGAGTGTCTTCAGGGCCCTTGGACAGCAACTTCTTATAACAAAAGTAAAATCAGAGTTTTTGATTCTGATGATTTTGAGACCTGTGTTTTGAGGGGTGTGTTGTCCTTCGGGAGTGATGGCATCCTTGGAAATGACTCCTTTCTGCACCACTCATTGTTAAGCACCTGAGGGATGCCCATATGACTGGGCATCTAATAAATAAAATAGCTGACATTATGAGAAAAATAGCAACTTCTCCCTGTTAAAAATGTAGATCTCCCATGTGACGAGGCATGGTGCAGTATGAGAACCAAATCTGTCTTTTTGCAAACTAGCCTCAGAGCCATGCCATCTCAGCAGACCCAGTGTATCATATGCCTTGGGAAGCCGGGTAGCAGGAGTGCCACTGCTCTGTGGCAGTATCCCACAACTCAGTCCAAGTCAGATAGGTCAAGCAGTGGAGGTTCAGCTAAGTTCACGTCTTAGTTGCCCGTTTCCTGCCTTTATTGTTTTCATTAGCAACCTTGTCTGTGTTTATGTAAAATAAAAATGGAATTTTGAAAGAAGGCATTTCTGACTTAAAGGTCTTAATCAAGATGACTTGGGGCCAACCATCTAAAGAATCTTCATTTTTGTTTTGCTGGGGGAAGATGAAAACTCCTTTTGAGCTGAGAAGTGAAGGCAAAGTCTTTGTCCCATTGAATGGCCTGAGAACTCTAAAATGTTGAGTAAAAGATAATCAACTCATTCTGAAAACACAGTTTCAGTGATTTGATGGCCACTTCTCCAGGATCACAACATGACTGTCCAACAACTCAAATGTTTCCTAGGTATTTATCACAATTGCTAACTCTTGCTTCATTTCTTAAATCTGGATTGTGATTCCCCACTGTGGAATTTAGATGCTAAGGGACACAGCCAATTGTGGGCAAGTGTGGACCTGGTCCTCAGGCTACTGAGCCAACATGGCCTCATACAGTACTCTCATCGGCAAGGGCTTGTCCTCTCTCTAGCAGGGACAGCTCCTAATTCCATAGCTTCATACTCCACTAGCAGGTGGACAGTACGGTGACCCACTGCAGCCACCCAGGTACCAGAGGCTGAAAGGGTAGGTACAGGGGCAAAGGTGGACAGTACAAGTGGCCCGTTGTAGTCATCCAGATCCCAGAGGCTGAAGAAGCAAAGGAAAGAGTCACCAAGTTATAGTGACTCTTTTCTAAGCCACCCACAGTGCCCTGGTCAGAGAAAAGCTTGACACCTCCTGGGGCTGGTTTGGTATCTCTGATAAATAAAGCTTTTTCAACTCCAGATTTCTCCCTACTCTTTCATTCACCTCTCATCCCTTCAAGTGCCACTGAAGGGACAAGTTGCTCCCCTCCCTTCCCCTTAGATTGTCACCTTCACTGCTTTATTCTCTCTGTCTGTGTTCTTCTAGGCCAGCTTAGCTTCATCCTGGACAGTTGCTTATTTTCTCTGCCCTCCTTGCCCCTTCTTTCATCCTCTGCTTCTTCTTTTCATTTCTTCTCCTTCTGTTTTGGAGACATCAGTTCTGTAGTCCCATGCTGCCTGCATTTTCTTTTCTCCTTCCATGAGCACTTCCCCATGGCTGCCATCTCCAGACTGCCAGCTCTCCACACTGACCTAAAGAAGGAAAGCCCTAAGTTGTGCACTCTGTGCTTATTTTATATTCAAGGTCAGCTGGCAGACCTTGAGGCAGTATGAAATAGTTCCTAGCATACACACACACACACATACACTTTTCTTTAGCAATCTTAATCTTAGTCTCAAAACCAGAGCCCCTATTTTATTCCTCTTTCAACAAATATTTATTGAGAACTTACTACATGCCAGACACTGTTCTAGATACTGAGGATAGAGCAGTGAACAAAACAGATAAAAATCTCTACCCCTGTGGACCATACAATGTAGTTGGGGGTGGAGAGGAGGCAGATAGATAAGAGATGAGGGGTCCAGACAGAGGGGAAAGTAAGGGTCAAGGTCTTGAGGAAGAACATGTTTAGTATATCCAGGGAACATCTTGGAGTAAAGCTTCCCTGAGCCAAGGTTTGCTGGGTGCCCCTAGCTAGGGATATGTACATGTTGTCCCTTTTTGGGGCTGGACTTAGGTTTCCCTGTGCACTATCAGTCATCACTGCTCAGGAGGTAGATGTGGCCACAGAGTAGCAAGTGGTCACCTCTTACCTGAACCCTTGCTAAGGACCAATTATTGGTCACAAGAGTACACAGCTGCTTAAAACTTCTCAGATCCCACAGGAATGTGGTGAGCAGTGAGAAAGGAAGGGCAGGGAATTTAAACTCTTCAACACAGCTCCCAGCTTGAGGAGTTGAAAGAAGTCTTCAAGAATGCAGAGCTCTGGTATAGAGGAAAGCTGAGCTGTACTGAGCTCTGCAATGTGCAAGAAGTGTTCTGCAGCCACGGGCCAGGGAGGCTCCCTGGACATTTTCTCCTGGGCCAGGGGGTTTAGGAGGGCCCAGTGAAGCAGGCCACCAGGGGTCATGTGTCCTTCTGCTCATGCAGGCCAGGATCTGCACATGACTAGGAGGGAGCAGAACAGAACCGTGGGCCTCAGCCTTGTTTAGAAGCCTGAGGATGAGGGCCCTGAGGGAACAAAGGCAGTGCATGTCCACCCTGACCAAGGAGACATGATTTTCTTGGGGAGGTCTGTGTTGTGCACATGCATACCCCAAGGAAACGCTGTCCCTGCTTTGCATGCTGCTGCTGCCATTGTATTCACTAGCCATGAAAGATTGTCCTCATACCATGAAGACACAGAATGAGGCAAACTTAACTAGGGTTCATACTTCAATTATATTTTCTTGAGAGCAAGCACAAAAAGTCATGCAACATTCTTATCAGTTTACAAGCCTCCCACAGATCCCCTCTTTTCCTCTTGCTTTCATCCTCCTTTTGCATGAGCCTGAGCTGTTGGGATACCCTGCCTCCTCCCATAAAAGGCAGCCCTGAATTGCAAAAGGGCACCTGTGGCCACATCTGTGGTGCGAATGCAGCTTCTCTGTGACTTTTTCGTTTTTAATAATTCCTTGTCACCACCTAAGAGCTCCCTGAGAGTCATCCAATGTGCAGTTTACAACCTGCATCCTCTGTCACTTGAGCATTGCTGCGAAATGAAAGTCAGTCTTCACACCATGACGAGCCAGGGTCCCATGATGGCTTGCTTTATCCTCCCTGAAGCCCAGAGTCCTTCCTAATTGTCAGTGTTTGTCAGTGTCAAACAGGAAAAACTCAAGATGTAAGCCTCCCTGTCACCCCGCAGATGCCCTTGAGCGAACCGAGCTTGAGGGGGTGGGAAACCTGTAAAAAAAAAATAAAATAAACAAGGTTTTTATTGAATCAAAGAGAGGTACTTGGGGTGTGTAAGATTAGGATGTTGGAAAGGCACAGCACATTTTATTTTATTTTCTTATTTAAGGTCAAGAAATTTTTACTCTATAAGATTTTCATTCTGTTCTAGCATATTCTTCATGAGGCCTCTTAGACCTGGGATGCTTCCTTCTCATTTTAACCCTATATTCTTGTCACATTTCTGTATTCATCTACTAAGAAGGCCCCTCTGGGGTAAGGAGAGTACCCTGGGGAGTCTGTGAGCCTTCTTAGTCCCCAGAGACCTGGTGCTTCCTTAAGCCCCAAAAGCCCATGGGCCCTGCAAGGGGTCAACTAAAGTCTTTGGTCTCTTATTGAACTGAAGCCCCTACCAGCTTTCCTGCCTGAATCTTATGAGCAAAGATAGTTATCTGACACAGTTCTTACTATCAGCTCAAGACTTACCATTCTTCAAACCCAAAAGTAGCAAACCCAAAAGTTTACAATATTACCAGTCCCCACAAGTACCCTGTGAGGCTAGGGATTGAGGGGTATTTTACAAAAGGGACTTGCTGTGGTTCGTGGGCAACTTAGAGGCCCAACTTCTATGCCTTAAGCCAGGATTTTCACCACTAAGATTTTTCTTTCCTTGTATTCAAATAAGCTTTAAAAAGTAGAATTTAAATATTTAGTCATGGTATAAATATTGCAATGAAGAATTTCCTAATCAGACTGCCTTTGCTTTAAAAAGGGTCTCTCAGGCCTCTTCCAGCTCATTGAGTGGATAAGCCAGGGCCAGGTTAGACTGGATAAGGAAAACCAATTCCTACTTGCTTAACTTGCTCTCCCTAAAAATCTTCAGGTTTTCCCTAAAGGTTTCTCTTTCCCAGAGCATCAGGCTATAGAGACAATATAGAGAATAGTAAACAAACAAACAAATAAATAAAAGTTCCCTATTGTACTTCTGATACCACTCTCCCAGACCCTTAGATTGGTCTTGCAGCCTCTTGAGCTGTCACAGGAAAGGTGATGCTGGCGCACACTTGCCTGGGTGGAGTGGCACACAGCAGGGCTGTGGAGTGGCTGTGAGCTCTCAGGTCCCCACCCCTTCCCTGCATGTGTCTCCCTGACCTAGCTGTGCTGGGAGTTCCCCCTCCTCCACAACTTTGTTGGTTTATTTTGAAGAGTAGGTCACAAGCTGGAGAGGCACCAGCTACTCTTTCTAGGTTGGGTTCACCCAAAGAAGAGATCCCATGTGCCCCAGGTGACACCAAACAGCCCTATGCCTACCCTGCCTGCCACTCTTTATCCTTGTCCCTGCTTCTTCCACCTGCAGGTACCTGGCGCTCTATGCCTACAAGCCCCAGAAGAATGACGAGCTGGAGCTGCACAAGGGTGAGATGTACCACGTCCTTGAGAAGTGTCAGGATGGCTGGTTCAAGGGCACATCCCTGAGGTCTGGGCTCTCTGGGGTGTTTCCAGGGAACTACGTGATGCCTGCTTCCAGGTGAGGTCATAGTTAGTTTCTGCCTGGGCAAGAAGGGAGGAGGCCCTCACACTGCCCTGCAACTGTTGTCACTGCCCGGAGGTCATGCTGTGTCTGGGCCACCCATTAACACAGTTCAGAAGACAGCCAGGACATGCCCTGCCTGTGGGGTTCTGCCCTGTGAGCTCAGAGTCCCCTTGAACAGGGGTTCTATATGGTGAGCATTTCACCTTCTAAATTAGGTTTGCTTGTCTTTCCCTGAGCAGACACTAGCTGCCAGGGGAGAGGATAGGAACAGAATGAGCAGGTCAGGGCAGCATCACTAAGTGAGGATAGAAAGTCACCAAGGAGAGTGAGATGTCAAGGCTGTGCATTCTGATGTGTGTGTGTACAGGTATTTGTGTGCTTGTACACTGTGTGAGTATAGCAGTATGTATGTGTGATCACATAGACGTGTTATACATAAAACATGCACATATGCATACATGCAAAGGAAAAATAATATACTCTCAAAAGGTAACAATTGTTATTAAGAGGTAGTATTATAGGTTAAAACTTTTTCTTGTGCTTTCCTATGTTTTACAAATCTTCTGTTATGTTATTTTTATAAAAACAGAACAATTTTTTAAAATTCACTAACACAATATCCAAAGTTGTCTGAGAATTTTCCATTGAGATGAGGGGTCCACTGCATGATTTTATTTCAGTCCGTCTCACTTATGGAAGCCCTCCATGGATACAGTGCTGTGTCGACACTCCAGGACACACAAACTGAGGCCATGGCCCATGGGTTGATGCTCTCTTTGAAACAAGATTGCTGTGAAAGAAATTAAATGATGCTTACATCTTGCATTGATGGTTACACTGCTCCATACTTTTCAAAGCACCCTAGGGGCAGTGCTGGCCTAAAACAGGGTCACATCTACCTCATCCCACTGCCCTTCCTGGGAAGGCTGATCATTTTTGAGCCCACTTTATTTCATTTTTAAAATGTCCTAGGGTAAAACTGAGTTCAGCAAGTAGCAGATGTGCTAAAAAATTCATGGTTTTGGCTGGCCAGCTCACTGAGTTCCTTGGTGGAAGTGAATTTCAGGGCAGTGCTAAGGGCTCATGCAGGAAGGTGTTGCAATGTGTCAAGCCCTTTTCTAGAAGGCCCTTTCTCTAAGATGTTCTGCAGGACCCTGACTGGTCACTGCAAGGGCTCTTTCCCATCTGAAGTCAGATCCACTGGCACCAACCCACGCAGAGAGGGGACCTTATTACATCACTCAGGAGCCACAGGTCTGAGAGTGCCTGTTCTCTCCCATGTGTGGCTTCTGGTGCCTCATGACTGGTATGCAAAGAGGATAGAGGGGAGTATACTGAGATCTGATACAAATGGAAGACAGTCCAATCCCCTGAAACTAAATCCCTAGAGCTTTCAAGACCTGATTCCACTGGGTTCTGCATCCCGACAGCCAGAGCATGGATTGAGTGCAAATATGCATAATGCACAAGGGTTTAAAAGCCATTTTCCCTTTAAAAGTTGCTGTTTCTTAAACACTCTAAACTGGTTTCATTTAGAAACCATGGGGTGAAAGGGCAGCAGGGCCTGGCAAAAGTAATGCCTGCTTGAGTGTGGTTGTTAGGGTAATAACATGAATGTAATGATTTATAGTTTTAATTTGAACATTTCATCCTCCTTTTAACCATATAACCAAAAATGCTATATGGTGTGCTTAAGTGTGATATTGTTATACTTAGAGTCACATGCTTATTATTTTATAATAAAAAGAGGGTGTTATTTGTGCCAGACCCTGTAATTTTCTAGTATGAAACTGTAATTTCCTTGACATCTCTCAGTGGGACATGGTTTGTCTGTGTCCCTTCCCAGAGGCTAGCCAAACCAAGACAGTAGTGATGTCCAGAGGGAATGGGTCTTTGCCACTACTTCCCATCACGTGCCAGATGTGCCCAAACCTTGTGGGATGTGACTGAGTCATCTTTCTAGATGTGTTTAGGAACACACAGCTGTTTGTTAGGATGAGTCAAAACAGTAGACCTGGTACAAAATATTCTATTGATTAGAATCATTCTTCTGTTTCTAGGGGCTTTTTTTTTTTGCTATTTCTTGAATATTCACATTGAGAGTTGGCCCCTGTGAAGGTTTTACAAAGTGTGCCCTTCTCAGCTGGACCTCTGAGCATTGTTTACCTACAAGAGTTATCTTGGTACTAACACAGTGCCTAACATAGGATTTATCTCCAAGACTGAAGGCCTTCATCTCAGAGCCAGTCTATGAGAGCAGGCCTTTATCAGTGGCCTTTGTAGTATGGTTTCATCTGCACTGTCCCCAAATTCATTCTGTTTTATTTCCTCAGGGCTCACTTAGAAGGGGCTGGGCCACCCTGGAATAATGTGGTTGAAAGGTCTCCACTGGTCAAAGGGATAACCACAACCATCCACCCAGGTGGTGGAAGCCTGAGCAGCCCTCCTTGTGCCCTGAGACCAATCCTTCCTCTCAGCACATCCCAAGTCCAGCACCAGGCAGCCTCTCCCCCAGTGGGCAGTTGCCTCTGGCACTCAGCCCAGCTTGTGGAAAGCCAAGCCCGGAACACCACCCCCACAGGTATGTACCAGTCTTTCTGGGACCTCACTCTCTGGAAAATTTCACAAGAAAATGGGGTTTTGGGTACACAAATCATAGAAACATTTTGGCACATGTCTCCAGCAGTTCACAGCAGAAATGAGGCAGAGGGGCAAATTGTATTTGCTTATCACAATCATCAACTTGTGCTGATCTTCAGGAAATTTATTGACTTATTTTATCCTGGCTGCTAAAGTGGATTCAAGAATTTATGAATATTTATACATTTCCTTGTAGCAGCAGGACTGCATGGACTAATAAGATTAATAGTGGTGCTTTTGGACTCTCCATTTGAGGCTACAAGGAGGGTGTGGGCTGGCCTCATACACCTTCCATGGCCCAGGCACTTAAGGGTTTCCAATTAGGTAGCACATCCTAAGCCAGGGCTGGTAATGAGACACTGAAGCAGAGTATACCCTGTCTGAGATGCTCTGAAGCTGGAAGGAGTGATGGTCATTGATTGATCCTTCACCTTCATGCCAGCATTATCAATAGACATGCTGACACAATTTAAGGAAAAACTTTTTTTCTCAATATGATGTGAAGTGAAGAAAAATTATAGGGTGGATTATATAGGCATAAACAAGGTAAACACACCTTGTTTGGAAGCTTAGCATCGAGGAAATAAGAACTGCTGGAGCTTCACTCATGTGACACTCATAGAAGCCCACACCAGTGACCTTCTGAAACCATAGTGCCAACAACATTGTCACCATGCAGTAAAAGGAACCCAGAAAAGGAGGATATAGCTCTAACACAGAATTCCTTTTCCCACACAAACCTTATTCTCTCAGAAATCATCTCTTATCTTCTCAAAGTAAGGCTTAAAGGACACACACACAAAAAGTGAACTCTTTGGAGCATTAAAATACATGACTTTTTAGAATCTAGTTAACCAGATACAACCAACCCATTAGAAGTACTCCAGAAAGCAGTCTCTCCAGGATGAAAAATCGAGATAGTACTAGTGCAGCAGGGGCCATGTTTTCTTCTGAGGCACAAATGAAGTGGATATACACTCGCCACCCCACCCCAGTTACTCTCTGGGGAAGGTGGCATGTATGTTCCCATGCTGATGACAGTCTGGGCTTACAGGTGGCAGCCAGAACTCCTGAGTATTTGCAGGAACCACAGAATGTGATGAGCCACCCTGAGTCAGCCATTCTCAGCTCTCCTAGGTGGATTGCCAATGGGCAGCACTGTCTGGGAGGGCTGTGGGGCACTTGATGATGGTGCAGGGAGAATAGGAAAGGCTTCTCAGAAGAATCCCATCTCAGAATGGGCAGCAAAGTAACACTCAAATGGGGGAACAAAGAAGGGTGCCATTTGAAGCAGAAGGAAAGGAATAGTCAAACAAATATAAATGGGAGAAAGTAGTCTTATTCTACCAGCAGCAAGCAATTCAGCAAAGACAGAGCAGACAGAGGCCTGGTTGAAGGCATGAGCTTGGGAGGCAGGCAGACCTATTTTGAATGCCAAGACTGCCATTTTTCCTGTGGCCCTAGTGTCTTCCTCTGAAAGACAGCACGACCTCCACTGACACTCTGTGAGGACTATCTACATGGCATATACAGTATGTATTCACTACACTGTAGCTATTTTATTTTTTAGTTAGAGAATAAGAATATTACTAGAGTGCTCAATGCATGAGAATCAAAAAAGTAAACCTAAAAGTTATCACAGAACCTGGGGGTTGACTTCTCTGTTGAAGGAAGTGGGGACCCACCACAGGATTTGAAGCAAGAGGGTTTGCCCTTAACCAAATGTCACCAGACACAGCAGGGAAGAAGAGGTGGTGCCAGAAGCCCAAGGCTGGGAGCCAAGAGAAGGGTGCTGCTGTGCTTGGTGAGAGGTGACAATGAGCCTGGGCCCCATGGGTGGGATAGTGGAATTGGGACGAAATAGTGAGATATTTAGGAGGCAGAGTGGTTATGACTTGGAGAGATCTAGATGGAAGTGCTCAGAGAGAATGAGGACCCAAGTCCAGTTTCCAGGTTTGTGGAACCAGTTGACTGGGAGAATGATAGTGGCATCCGCTGACCTAGAAGAAACTAGAAAGGGACTTGTTTATGAAGGAATGTAATGACATGGCTTTGAGAGATGCAGTGGGTGCTGGTCACACTGTGGCTCACCAGCTGGTTTGGAGCAGCCTGCCAGAGGAGGGCTCACAGCTGGTGTGTAAATCCTCAGCCTGCCTTTCAGGCAAGACACAGACATGTGACATGGACTGCATGTGTCCTCCAATCAGATGACAAAAACATGAGGCCACATGGATCCCCTGTGGGGATGAATGGGGTGGTGAAATCATCCAGGACCTTTTCAAGAGCAGCAAGGTTGTGGTGTGCAGTGCCCAGTCATCAATGGGTGTGAGGTGGACTCTGCCTCATGCTGAGTGGTATCTGTGTCCAACAGTCAGGGGATCTGGCCCAAGGAAGCCTCAGGGATGGGCTTGGCACTTCCCTGGCTATAGAACCTCCAAGACTGACCCTGCCATCTCAGAGATTCTATAAGTGCTTAATAGTCTTTCATATGTATCTTTTTTCTTAAATTAGCCAAAAGTGAGTTTCTGTGTTTTTGCAGCTTTGCCTATGGGAACTTGGGGAAGAGCTAGCTGTCTGTATACTCTAAGACTCTGTAAGCTATAGCAGCTAGTGCGAGACCTCTGCCCTCAATTGTTACCTCCTTACCAGCTATGCTTCTAGCCTGGTTTAAGTTCACCTGATGCCGTTTACTGCGAGCCTCCAACATAGGATCAGCCCTTGTAATAGCCAAGTGATAAACCCACAGCAGAGTTTCCTGACTGGTACTCTATATCAAAATACTAATCTGTGGCCCTCGGAGAATCTGGGCAGGACCTAGGGCACCTAATGTCTCAAACCAGGCCCCTTCTGCTTATAAACATGCTTCCCACTCACCTACATGTCATACACATGTTTATATGTACACTACAACAGCTCTGCTTCTCAATGAGAGTGCACATCCCAGTATGGAAGCCCTGGGATATCAGCACAAAATGCCCATATTATGGCCTTTACATGCCATGGCCTGTTAGCAATTTTCCCAATTCAAAGAAGAAAATGAGACCTACCAGTCATTTCTCCCTCTGTGCAGTAATAAGCAGAATCAAAAGAAATTGGCATGACTAGGGACAATATGACATTGTGTCTTTCTCATCCATCACCATAGTAACCACCATGGTGAAACAAGCATTCTCTTCCATCAGTTTAATTTTACATATGGGAAGAGTGACGTACAGGGTGGTTAAAATGGCTTTCCCAGTGCATTCTATCCTAATATTTGTCCCCACATTATATCAGTCCTGCCGTATTAGTAAGGTAAATGCCACTGAGTTCCCACAACATTTTCCATTTTGCTCTGCATTTTGCATGAGGAAAAAAAAACTGTTGACAGTACAAGTAGTAGATTGTTTGCAGCTGTAATTACCCATTTCAGCAAACCCCAACCCAGGTTGTTGAGAGGCATTTCATCAATTTTCTCATTTCAAGCCAAAGTCTTACAAAAGCATTGGCCATAGCATCCAATATGATTTATTATATTTAATTAGTGTAACTCTTTTTTAAGGGTAGCTATCCCTGTGAAGTACAGTGCCTACATAGCCTCATGTCAGTACTTAGCAGGAGCAAGAGCTGTCTACAGCCATATATTCATCAGCAAAAAAAGTAATGAAAGAGAACCCTGTATACACAAGACACTCTGTTAGGGTCTGGAGATGCAGAGAAGAGACAGCTACACCCTTGTTTCTACCCTCAGTTAGAGAGAAGGGCAAGGAAACAGTCTCAGTAGATCCTGAAAAACGCTATGATGGAGGGATACATCAGGTATTAAGAAAGTGTTGAAGAGAGATAGTGCACTCAGATTGGGAGGAGTGTAGGAGAGGTTTATGGAAAGTTTTCAAGAGGAGGTGATACTGTCTTTTTTATTAAATATTTTATTGTTGTTCTACTAGAGTTGTCCCAATTTTTCCGTTTGCTGTCCTCTACCCAGCCCACTGCCTGCTCCCACAGTCACTCCCCACCCTGTTGTCAATGTCCATGGGTCATTCATACATGTACCTTAACTAGTCCCTTTCCCTTCTTTCCACCCTTATCCCCCTCCCCTCTGGTCTCTGTCAGTTTATTCCTTGTTTCCATGCCTCTGGTTCTATTTTGCTTTTTGTTTGTTTTGTTCATTAGTTTCCATTTACAAGTGAGATCATAGGGTATTTGTCTTTCACCAAACTGGCTTATTTCATTTAGCATAATACTCTCTAGTTCCATCCATGCTGTCAGGAAGCATGGGAGTTCCGTCTTTCTTTATGCTGTGCAGTATTCCATTGTGTAAATATACCAGTTTTTTGATCCACTCACCTGATGAGCATTTAGGCTGTTTCCAGCACTTGGCTATTGTAAATAGTGATGCTATGAACATAAGGGTGTATAGGTTCTCTTGAATTGCTGTTTCAGAATCCTTAGGGTATAATCTGTAGCAGTGGAATTGCAAGGCCAAAAAGCACTACCATTTTTAGGTTTTTGAAGAAATTCCATACTGTTTTTCCCAGAGGCTGCACCATTCTGCATTCCTACCAACAGTACACTAAGGTTCCCTTTTCTCCACATCCTCACCAGCACTGGTTTGTTAATTTATTAATGATGGCCATTCTGACAGATGTTAGATGATATCTCATTATGGTTTTAATTTGTATTTCTCTGATGGCTAGTGATGTTGAGCATCCTATCATATATCTCTGGGCCCTCTGTGTGTGTTCCTTGGAGTAATGTCTATTCAGGTACTTTGCCCATTTTTTAATTGAATTGTTGTCTTCCTGGTGTTGAGTCATATGAGTCCTTTGTATATTTATTTTGGAGATTAAACTCTTGTCCAGTGTATCATTGGCAAATATGTTCTCCCATATGTCTGGATATCTTTTCATTATGATGATGGTTTCTTTAGCTATGCAGAAGCTTTTTAACTGATATAGTCCT